CTCTCCCGACTCAGCTTCTGCATCATTGGTAACAATCGGGGCGCCCACATCGTAGGGGGCCCGGCAGCGAGGGCAAGGCCACAGCTCCTACCTCCCTTTCTTCCGTTTAAGTTTTTTCTTTTTTTAATGTATCTTTATTGATTTCAGAGAGAGGAAGGGAGAGGGAGAGAAACGTCAGTGATGAGTCATTGATCGGCCGCCTCCCGCGCGCCCCCCGCTGGGGATCGAGCGGCCACCCGGGCCTGTGCCCCGACCGGGAATCGAACCGATCGCCTGGATCCTCGGCCGACGCTCCACCGCCGAGCCCCGCCCGGCCGGGCTGAGTTTTTTCTTTTCAACTCTCCACAAAATCTTCACTATTTCTCACTGAAAAGAACAAAAGCCCCCGATGGTTATAGCTGTTATTTTGAATTCCCCTCCCCCAGGAGCTCCAGCAGAGACTTCCTCCAGCATCCAGATGCCCCTTTGCACCCCAGGCTTCCCTCTTGGTGCCCTCCCCCCTCTCCCTGAGGAGGGTGCACAGTCATACTCCCCCTTGGGGGACCGTGTAAGGCTTCAGCTCCCCACTTTTGACTTGGAGGTCTTAGGCAGACCTCAGGGGCTGGAGGGCAAGGGCTCCCCGGAGGAAAGCACCCACCTCCTCAAAGGAAGCTAGGCCACCCCAGGAGCTGGTGGAAAGGAAATCCTTTCCAACAGCCCACCACACAGCCCATACCCGGGTGGGATCGCTAACAATGACCGCAGTAAGAACCCCACGGAACACCTCCGAGGCAGGGCCAAGAGAGACCGGGCGGGGCCGTGGCTGCCGGGCTCCTCCCTTCACCTCCGGCCCAGGACACTCCTCCCCAGGGAATGCTTTCAGCTGCCAGGAATGCTGCGGGTGGTGGGGGCAGCCTGCCCAGCCTGAATCGCTCTCCTTGCAGGTGGGGCTGTCGAGAACCTGGCACGGGGCTGTGTAGTGCCTGGAGTCACCAGCACCTACAGACGGATTCCGGACGCCTCTCAAGAGTGCTCACTGGACTCCTGGGAAGGGGATGGCAAGCTGAAAGGTCTCCAGAGGCAGGTGCCGCTTCTCAAACTGGCCTTCCTGGACTCAGGAGTGGAGATGGCCGTTGGGAACAGCTCCCGGGCCACTTCTCGGGGCCTTTCTCAGGACTCTCTGGACATTCAGCCTGTGGGGAATCCTGAGCCCATGGCTCTGCCCATGGAGCCTTCTGCTCACCTGGGCCGGCTCCTGGCCAGCCAGAAGCTAGAGCAGGTGCTGGAGCGGTCCAGCCAGCTCCTGACTTCGCCTGCCAGCTTGTCACACCCCCACAGCTCCCTGAAGCCTACAAGGAAGCCTGAATGTGAAATGCCCTTTTTTGGAGCAAGGGACCAGGAGGCCACCAAGGCAGACACTGACCTAGAGGCAGGACCGGAAGAAGCAGAGGTGGTGAGTGTCAACTCTTAGGCTGGAGGAAGAGTGGGATGGAAATGGCCCTTTCACATGGGGGCTGGTGGGCCCCCCTCCAGTTGTTTTCCCTGGAGCTCTCTTGGGGTGGGGCATTTCTGTCCCTAATTGATGGGTTGTGTCAGTTTCTTGCCTCACCCCATTCCCAGCTGTGTGGAGGTGGGCAGGGCAGGTATGAGGTTTGCCTGGTACCATGGCTGGCTGGGCACTGGGAGGTCAGTTGGGTGCATGATCCTCCATTTCCTGCCCATTCTGCTTCCATCTGATGGCTCCCAAGGGTGGGAGTCTGATTGAGTTCAAGTCTCTGCTACCTAACTCTGTCCCACAGGCAAGGGGCGTGGGGCCTGAAGCCTGGGCCTGCCTTCCAGGACAGGGACTTCGCTACCTGGAACACCTGTGCCTAGTGCTGGAGCAGATGGTGAGACTCCAGCAGCTCCACCTGCAGCTGCAGACCCAGAGGCCCCCTGGGGTGAGTGAGCCATGTGGTGGCCAGGCCATTGGGTGGGCAAGTGAGTGGGGGAGGCACAGGAGGGTGGGGTCCTGGCACCAGGGCTTCCTTCAGAACAGCCTAGGTCTCTGCTCAGGTCCTGAGTGCCCTTCTCTCCTGTGCACAGGACCCTGTAGAGGAGGAAGAGGAGTCGACCCGGGCCCCTTCACCTCTACCCTCTCATGCCCCAGGCGGTGAGGTGCAGGGGTCATGGGAGCTGCTCAGCCAGAAAAAGGAGACAGGTATGGGGCAACTGTGTCTCCCTCTGTGTTCTGTCTGCCCAGAGCCCCAGGCAGACCCCCTGAGCCCTGGGCTTAATGGTTGTGTTCCTGTTCCTGGCCCTGGGTAACCTGATTCTCTCTCTGAAGGTGCAAAAAGAGCTTCACTCCCAAAGGTAGGGGTGCCCAGTGCCAACCCTTCCAGGCTGTCCAAGGCCCCAGCAGAGCCAGCTCACACCTTTCAATCCTCCCAGAGTCACAAGGTAGGTGATGGGTATGTGTGGGGCAGGTGATAGGTGGGGGTGGGGTGCTTGGCATGTGCGGATACCCTAAAGGCCAGAAACTCTGGGAAAATGAGAGGATTCCTGTTTGGAACAGGTGACTTCTCCTGGCTGCGGTGACAGCTGTCTCTGGTAGTATGGGGTATGTTGTGAGGTGGGGCTCTGTGGTGACCCCTTCATTCTCTGCTCAGCGGGATCTCTCCCACTGGAACAAGGTCAAGGTCCTTCTCAATCGGATTCGCTGGAAGAGCCCTCAACACCCTGAGCCCCCTGCCCCTCCTGATGGCCCTGCTTCCAGGTAAGTACTGTGGCCCAGGCCGGGTTAGGGCAGAGGAAGGAGCCCGATGAACCAGGATGCCAAGATTGTACTCCTAGTTCTCTTTGTCCCTATGAAATAAATCTGAGTGACATAGACAGAGGGTGCTGGAAGAAACAGAAAGTAGTTTAAACTCCCCATTGATAGATGAGGAGGGTGGGGACTGAGGTGGGGAGAGAAGCCACTTTCCTGAGGCCAGACCGTGAGTCAGTGGTAGACTTCCCTGTATATGGGAAATCTCCTTATGCCAGCCTAGCAAGTCCTCAACTCTCAACGCTGAAACTTAGGCTACCTTCTTGGATTTGCTGGGCAAGCAGGGTGGGGGCAGAGACAAAGGATTCCACAGTGGATGATGGGTGGACAGCGATACTGAATAATTCTCCAGGGGGATGAGGCACTATGTCAATTACCATCCCCAGGCTCCCCATAGCACATAGGCAATGCTGATCCCCTCTGGAGCCATTGTTACCTTCGGTTCCTTCTCCTAGCCTAAGGACACCTTTTCTTTTTCACAGGATTGAGTCAAGGGACCTCCCCGAAAGACCTCCATGTCGCTCCCGCCGGAAGACCTTCATGCCATCATTAGTGGTGATGAAGCAACGAGCAAAAAACCTTTCTGTCTCCTGAGACCTCCTGGTGCAGGGACATGACTCTGGGTGGAGGGGTGTGCAGTGAAGTCTTCTTCACCTTTTGCCCTGTTGCTGTTTTGGGGCACTGCCAGGAAAAGCTGCTGATCCTCACCCTTCTCTCTGAGGTGAGGGCTGAGTCTTTCTCCTCTGAGCAGCTTGGCAGAGAGACCCCAAGGTGTGGCAGCTCCTGGGCGCCTCCCTGGCTGCCAGAAATCCCTGAGCTTAGACAATGTGAACTAATTTACCAGGCATCCATGGGGTGTCTTTGGCATGGTGATCTGTTGGGGCCCAGTGTGTTGCAGATGTGAATATATGCAAAATGATATATACATGTATCTCTGTGAGACTGTCACTGTTGTGAACTGACTGGATTCCACCATCTCTCCTGAATCACACACTCTTCTGGGTGAAGTAATTGCAGAAAGATGGAACTGACCATTCTTCAGTGAACAGTTACTGATCCTGGAGTTCTGCTTTCCTCCTCATACCTGCATGGGAAGCGCCAGGACAGAGAAAGGGCACTATACTGGGTGCCTCTGCATTGAGTCTTGCCTGTGGAGCAGAGTCCCTGAAGACCGCACCAGGAATGGGAGGGTTAGGGGAAAACGGGGAATAGCAGAGTAACCTTCAAGGTCTATTCTTAGCTGCTTTGCTCCCTACTAGCCTTTACACATCAGAGCTGAAACCAGAGGCCCATACTAGCTTTAGACCTTGACAAAATCCCTTAACTTCTCTGAGCCATAGCTTCCTACTTAACCTCCCAAATGGTATAATGATGCCTGACCTACCTACCTACCTCATAGGCTTGTTTTGAGGATAAAATGAGATTAAACTGTCGCAAAGAGTGTTGTGAATGTTACATGAATAGGGGAGAGTATGGGTGTTGGAGGGCAGATATACTGGAGGGGTGACTGGAAGGTCAGGGACTGGAATTGGTAATGGGGACTGAAATGGCCAGTGATTAGCATCAAGACTTCGAGCAAGTCATTTCATTGAGGTCCCTTAGGTGTCACATCTGAGAATTACGGCACTAATTCCTGACTTGCTTACCCCCCAGCACTACTGTGAGGACTAAAGGTGAAGTCCATGAGAACTCTTCATAAATGTTTACCTAAGTATTGTGGTGGTTTATCTTACTATAGCCTGTTAGATTCCTAGCTCTTTGTTAATTGAGAAAGAGGAAAAGCTTACCCTGCAGGTACCAGTGGATGGGAGGGCTGCGTGCGTTTGCTACGCTTAATGGATGGGCAGGGCTGGGGCTGGGGTCGTCGGCTTGAGTCAGAATTGGCCACTGACCAGGCATCCTCCTCTCGTCAGGAGGGTTTTGTTCTCTGGTGGCTGCAATCCTGGGGTCTGCTAGAATGAGGCAAGGTTGGGTGCTTCCTTAAGTCTGGGGTCAGCTCCAGCTGTCTTTGGATAAAGAACCAATTCTCTGATGCCCATTTTTCTAATGGGACACTTAAGCAAGGACACCACCAGGCGTGGCTTCCTAACGCCCATCGGGTCGGGGCAGGAGTACTTCCGCCCCCGGGTTGGAGCGGGCCGCAGGCCGGCGGGGGAAGGGAGACTTCGCTCGGTGGAGCGGAGGGAGGGACTATATCCGGGAGAGTGGCAGCTTCCGACCAGTGGTCGCGCTTCCGGAGAGGCGCTTCCGGTGGCGGCGGCAGCAGCGGCTGTGGTGGTTCCGGGTGTCTTTGTCCCCCCGGTGTCGCGGCCCTGGCCCGCAGGTGGGTCTGCTGGCCCCCGCCGCCCTTCTGCCCCTTCGCTCCTCCCCCAGCCGGGGGGCTGCGAGGGCCTGGCAGCGAAGATGCACGGGGCGCGGAAGGGGCCGAGGCCCCCCTCGGACTGCTAGTCCGTCTCCCTGGCAACGGTCTCGGCCCTGGGGGCGGAGGGGCGGGAGGAGGAGAAACCGCGCTCCTCTGTCCTCTCACGGTGGGCTGGCCGCGGCCGGGGCCGGGAGATGCGGCACCCGCGGCTCCTGAGGCAGGAGCGAAGGGCCGGGGAGCGCGGGAGCCGGAGGGCGGGTGCGCAGCCGGATTCGAGGTCGGCAGGGCCACACAGCTCCCTCCTAGCCAGCCGGGCCGGGGGACAACGGGCCGGGCTTCCGGGGAGAGGACCCACACCATCTCTCTCCGGCAGCAGCCTCCTCCATTTTTTCTGGGCCTTGTGTGGAGCATTTTGGCGGATGTATTTGAATGAATGAATGTCTCCGGCCTCTTTCCAGCCTTCTAACCCCCCAGCCATCTGCGGTGGCGTGGCATAGTGAGAGGAGCCCTAAATTGTCGGGAGACCTGGGTGTGAGTCCCAGTTTTGTCACTAACTGGTTGTATGGCCTCGGGGAAGTCTCAGCCTCTGAGCTTCAGCTTGGTTTTCTTTAAAATCGCATGACAGCATCACCCGCCACTAGGTTATTTGTGAGGGCAAACTGGAACAATGTAATTTATTTTCTGCTACTCTTTATATTACCTTCATCCATCGTCTCCATTCATTCTACCTACTCTCCTCAAGATACTTAGTTCCTGTTTTGGGGTTGATGGAAAATTCCCCTATGAGCTATTAATTTATTTCTTTTCTCATTGAAGGTTTTCCCCCCAAGACTCTGAAAGAAGACAGCAATCCTAATGTCCCAGTTTAAGCGCCAGCGGATCAACCCACTTCCTGGGGGACGCAACTTCTCAGGTGATCGCCTTTATCCCTGCCTGGGCTCATACTGGAAAGTATGTGCTTTGGAGTTAGTCTTGTAAAACTACGGCTTTTGGGTTTTCCCTGGCGGAGCGCAGTTTGCTGCTGATATTGCTTAGGAAAATAGGAGCTGACCACAGTGGTTGCCAGTGAAACCCTGTGGAGGAGTTGCTTGGAGCCATTTTGCCTTTTGGGTTTGCCATATCCTCTAGTTCAGCGATTTTCAACCGCTGTCCAGCAAGAATTTTTAAAACATGCAATACCTGACTATGAAGTGAGGGGCAGTGACCTCTTTTCCCTTAGCTTGTCAAATAAAAAAATGACAACAGACAACACGTTGTTTGTCAAATAAAAAAAATGACAATAGCCATCCGGTGTGAATGAATCAAAATTATACCTATTTCTTTTTGTCAGATCGACAAAATATGTTTTTTGGTGGCCTCAGACTTTTAGTAATTATATGTCATGAGATGAAAAAGGTTGAAAATTGCTACCCTAGTTGACTGTAGTGCTTGAAGATGGTAGGTGCAGTTCCTGGAGATTGCTTCTCTGTCCTCATAGGCACAGCTTCAACATCTCTTCTGGGTCCTCCTCCTGGTTTGCTCACTCCTCCTGTGGCCACAGACCTGTCCCAAAATGCCAGGCACCTTCAGGTAGGTTGGGCATCCTTTCTAGTGAGTTTCAGCCCTTGGGACCACCCCAGCATGCATGGATGCCTGATGCTGTCATTTTTACATCACAGTGTTCATCCTTCCTGACATTCCTGTCCTGGGCCAGTATGGAGGTGACTGGACACCTCTGACTGGGGAATCCTAAGTTTTGGTTCTAGGGAAATCTTTAGGGTGCTTCTTGGAATAAAGGAGCTGGGAATCCTAGAAGAAGCTTATGATGCAAGAATCAGCATAATGCCTTCCTCCCCAGGCAAAAAGATGGGTTATGTCCACTAAACATGTATGCTCCTTTCCATTGGAATCTTATTTTAAAAAGTGTTTTTATTGATTTTTAGAGAGAGAGGAAGGGAGAGGGATTGAGAGAGAAACAACATCCATGGACTGCCACCTGCACGCCCCCTACTGGGGATCGAGCCACAAACCTGGGCATGTGCCCTGACCAGGAATCGAACTGTAACCTCCTGGTTCCTGGGTTGATGCTCAGCCACTGAGCAATACCGGCCAGGCTGACTCTTGATGCAGTACTCTGGTTGAGCTGGTTGGGAGGGGAGTGTAGCTCGAGATGAGATGCTAATGGCAGAATGTGGATAAATGCTATTTTAAACTGCACTCTTCTCTTATAGGGTGGGGAGAAGCAGCGGGTCTTCACTGGCATTGTTACCAGCTTGCATGACTATTTTGGGGTGGTGGATGAAGAGGTCTTTTTTCAGCTAAGGTAGGTTTGAGGCTGGTCTCCTTTTGGAAATGCTTGTTGGATTCATTTCTGTCACCATGCTCATGGGGCTCCTCTAAAGTCATTGCTTTCCTGTTTTTATGCAAGGTGTGAGAAATCTTGATGGGAAGGGCTCATTAGGGTAGTCAGGGTGACTTGGCCAGGGTCTCCTGACTAGGCTTATGTGCTGGCAGTGTGGTGAAGGGCCGGCTGCCCCAGCTGGGTGAGAAGGTGCTGGTGAAGGCTGCATACAACCCAGGCCAGGCAGTGCCTTGGAATGCTGTCAAGGTGCAAACACTCTCCAATCAGGTATTTATCTCTCCTTGTCACGTGCATTAGAAAGGGCAGGGAGGAAAGCCCCTATGTCCTGAAAGCTGGGCAAGAACCTTACTTTTGTTGAGAGGATGGGGACACCAACCATGGGATGCCCTGAATTTCCTGGTTACTGTCCTGCAGCCCCTACTCAAGTCCCCAGCACCTCCCCTTCTACATGTGGCAGCCCTGGGCCAGAAGCAAGGGATTCTGGGAGCTCAGCCCCAGCTGATCTTCCAACCTCACCGGATTCCTCCACTCTTTCCTCAAAAGCGTGAGTACCAGTGGCATGGATGTTGGGGTGTAGCTTTATGGGGTACTCTGGATGAATGGACTTGTAACTATCAGGTTGCTGTTCTATGAATAGAAGTGGGTACTTCTGTGCACTGAAAGAAAGGGGCAGGGGAGTTAGATATTTAGTTTTGGAGTCACCAGCCATTTCCTCTCTGCAGCTCTGAGTCTCTTCCAAACATCCCACACACTTCATCTGAGCCACCTGAACAGATTTCCTGCTCGGGGCCCTCATGGCAGATTGGATCAGGGCCGAAGGTAAGAGGATGTTCAATAAGAAAAAATGTTTTTTTCTCTTTATTTGCCTTTAGGAGCACTGTCCCTTTCTTTGCCACCTGTTGATACTGACTTTCTCTTCCTGTAGTTGGATCCTAGTCCCAGGCAGACACGTTGTTGGGTATATACAAATATTGGAATTTTAATAAACTGGTTCAGCAAGCAGGGATTTGATGTAGTTCATCTTTCAAAATAATCATATTGAATATTTTCTTAATATATAATTTACTTTTTATTTCTAGTTCCTGAGATTGAGATACTAAGAATCAAAACTATCAGGAGGCCCTGGCCAGGTAGCTCAGTTAGAGGGTTGTCCCAATACGCCAAAGTTGTGGGTTTGATCCCTGGTCAGGGCACATACAAGAAACAACCAATGAAGGCATAAATAAGT